TTTGAATTTGAATGAAATATTTAAAATAAATGCCTAATTGCAGAAAACTGGCTTTATTTCTGCTATAGTCCCCAGAGATGGTTCTGATTTATAGTATTTGCTTAGCAGATACAAAGAGGTGCTGTGTATTTCTGTTTATAACTCATTAATATTGAGATTAGCTTTCACACATAATGGACTGGATTACAGGCTGCTTTCTCTTCATGGCTGTATCGGCAGCTTTCTGCAGAAGGAAGAGCACGTGGATCCAATGACAATCCTCCTTGCAATTCTTCCTAAGCATTAATCTGGCATAAACAGGTATAGTGGAGGGTCTTCTATAATATTTGCTACTTGGCAACAGTTCCTAGGGCAATACCTAAGCCCATGCCAGCTAGGGCATCTCCTCCCCATTGAAACTCTGGGTCTGATTAGGGGGAGTGGTGAGAGGCAGCAGTGCTGAGGAGATAAGGGAGGGTACATTGCTTGCTACTAGGATACATTCCCGGTAATTAGATTCACTAGAAGTTAAGCACACTAAAATCATACACAGAGAACAAAACCACATCAGCTTTCAAAGATTTTTAGAAGGAATGAACCATACCGAAATTAATCCTGAAAAGATGACAAGTTATGTTTAGGCTTATACTTATTATCAGCTACTGAAATGACTTTTGATACAAACCAGTGTTTCGCTGTTAATACATACAGCCACAGGAGTTCTTAAAGATAAAAAAAAAAAAGAAAAAGAAAAAAAGGCATTTAAGCTGAAGTGCCTGGGTAGCTCAACACCCCTAACAACAGTCTGTCCGGGTGCCAGCCCCAGCCCCTTCTGAAGGTTCAGAAGGAAAATGCTTTTCAAAGAATTCAGGCAATTTATTTCAACGATTGGCTTGGCTAAAGCAGGGAAAGCTGCTGGAAATTGAAATGAAAGCTTTTATTTCATGTTAGGAACAAAAATGAATACTAATGAAGGGTATGACTAAATACATTAAAATCTATAGAACTGCCGGCATAAATGTGTATTAATATTGTGAATCTTCCTATGTAATGAAAAGAAGCACCGTATTTATTGCCTGGACTACATTCAGCTGCTAGTGAGATGTGCTGAATGGTTTCACCATGGTTTCTTTAGAAAAGTAAGTAAAAACTACAAATACAAAACAAGATTAAAATTAATTTACATAAAGTTTCACATTCATTTAAATCTGTATGTAAAATCACTACCACTTTGATTTAAATGAGTATCTCATAGGGGAGGCTGCAGATAATTCCTACCCTCTTTCTGGAGCAGAAGGCAGACCTGAATAAAGTATCGTAATTCACAGACAACCCTTGTGAACCGAACGGCATTGCTGAGCTGCATTGTGCACTTATCATGGAATTAGTGACACTGTCTCTATGGCCTGTTTGCAGAGATTAAACTGCAAACAGACTTTGAAATCTTCTGATTTTGCAAATCATCCAAATGCAATTGAAAACCCAAAACCCCCAACCCAACACAGTGACTTGCTAGTCTAAGTTCCCTTGATTTGCTGTAAGAGCTAAGCTTCTAAGTCTCGTAAACATTTCAGGTGAAGGATACCTATAAAGCCATGTAACCCGAGTTTATCAAATTCGGACAAATAAAACCCATCTCTTTATAGCTTACGAATGTAAGCTACATATCACTTGCCAGATGTCAGATCCATTAAAAATGCATTTGAATATAATTCAAATAATTAAAATGCCATTTTAAAACACGCATAATTGTTTGCCAGAGGCCCTTGCTCGCCAGAAGTAATAATTTCCACTTGTTGTGGTGACTTGATGAGGTCAGGCTGAACAGTTCCAGTGTTTGAGCCAAGGTTTCCTTTAGTCACAGCCTGATGGTGCAATTAAGTTTAAGACCTGGGAGTTTATTGCTCATATGGGTAACCTGTTTTTTTTACAAGGAGCCTAATGAATTTGATGATTAGTCTGATGACTTTTATTGTCTGTTTCCAAAGTAATTTGTGCTTGGCTTTTGACTGCTAATAAAATTTATGGAAAAGTTCAAAATGTTGGAGATAAAGACCTTTTTTTTCCCCCCCAACTGTATTAACCATTAAAACGGATATTCATGCCGATCTACAGGATTAAGTTTTCACCAGTAGAAGCCCTGTAGAAATGCTAGGAAAGGTAGCACTGTCCATCTACTTTGATCGGTCTTTTGCTTTTGATAGGTACTCTTGTAACTGGGCTCTCTATCTGCACAATAAAAATATACATGTTAAGAATTAAGGATGTATTAAAGTCCAATTGACTGCAATTGTGGATTTAATAAATTTCCTAAATAGAAGTTCAGAAGACTACTGAGCCACAGTGACTGGTTCTTCTTACTGGACTAACAATAAAATAAATGCTGAAGCTTTCCACACTGCGGAGATGCAAAAGGTATAACACTAGCAGCAGTAATACTCAAGGCAGGGGAGAGAAGGAAACTGAGGTCTCCCGCCACTGCGTTGAGAATGCTTGGCAGCTCTATGTCAGACTTCCTGCAGGAGTCAGGGCCTTGCTCCCCCTTTCTGTGAGGCAGATAGGCTCCACAGAGAGGCATAAAGACTGAATGCAAGAGAAAGGAGAGCCCTTTCCAAATGTCTGTCTTCTGCTTTTCCAGCACCTTCTCCAAAATATGAGAGAATAACAAAAAGACATATTCTAACCTCAAAAGCAGATACTTTTTGCCTATTTTTGACAAACTTCTAAGATTCTTTTTCCCCCAACTCTGACAGCTACATAATTTTCACCTCTTGCTAATGGCTTTCTCTCGGTGACAGTAAGTGCTGCCGAGTATACAGGTAACATTTAGCTTGAGATCACATTTGATTGTTAACATTGTCCCACCTCCGCTGGATGCAAAACTGAAAGTTTTGCAAAACAAAAAGCCATTTTAGTATCTAGAAAAACTAACATAACTAGTGGGAAAAGCATTCGCTAAACGAGATAAAATCCTTCCACCTTCATTACCACTTAGCATACTGTACTTTGAGAGTAGGTATTATTTAGTGTGAGTAACGACAACAGAATCTCAGCTTGATTTCAAAAGTTATTTCTGCATGATTTATTCAAAAGATAAATTCCCTAATGAAAGATACGGGATACACTTTAAACCAACATTATTTCATCTATAATTATTGCCTCAGAAATACCTAACTGACATTTATCACTGTCAGTGACTTTTGAATTCCTGCTACAACCATGGTATCCCATTGGGTTTGTTTGTCTCCAAGAGAACATCATGTTTCTCGTTTGGCATGGCCCAAAAGAGGAGAACAAAACCTGTCATTCCCTAGAAATACATTTAAATGAGAGTAAGCCTATTAATTTCCTTATAGTTATTTCCAACTATACATTTTCCATCTGAAGTTTGTCTAAGGTCTTCAGTTCATTATTGCTTCCCTTGCCCCTTCCTTTTTTTTTTTATGAGCTCAGCACCCACTATCCACCACATTTCTTGCAAAGCTTGGAAAAAAAATACAGATGCTCTGGCTCTCAGAGCTAAACTTCAGTCAAAAACCCCCACACCTCCTCATTATGAGGATCTAGTCTGTTATCAGGAGACAATTAGGAAGTAAATGTGCTTGAGAACATTAATTTGCAATTGGTTCAGTATGAGCATTACAGGGAAACTATTAGTGGTGTGTCCCAATCCAGTGTCCATTTTAAACAAGAAAAAGCTAGACTTCAATCAGGTAATGACTACAACAGTATTTTAATGTCTTTTACTTTATTAGGTCTGTTGCTGTACAGTGGAAGACTTCAGAAGAAAGCAAAATAAAAAAGGTAACTGGTAAGAGACTTTGTTCCCCATCACTTTGTGAAGGTCCTCATGTTACTGTTCATCACAAGTGGTAAATAAAACCTTTAGGCTTGCCTTTAGCAGGTCTCCATTCCTCTGTGTATTTTGGATATAAATCTTACCATGTGGTAAGATTATAAGAAAATAAAAGCAAAATACTATTTTCCTGTCACTTCCTAATCCAAATTACATAATCCATGTGCTAGTGGCAGCTGCACAAATTTTTAGTTCCAGAGCTGCAGTGCATATACCCTCATTCTCAGTGGTTGGTAGAAACTCTCTTTTAAAGAGAAAGTATATAAAATAAAATACTCCTGAAAAGATGTCTCCTTACAAAGAAACTTGTTATTTAATTTGATCTCAGCTAATTGGCAATTTAGACAGTAATTTGTATCCAAGGATTCCAGACACGGCAGAGAACAGAAGCCTACATGGAGCTCTGCCAGGTCGCTGGGACACAGCCCTACCCCAGAGACACAGCCCTGATGTCACGTGCGCTGACTGCACGCCTCCCTTACAGGTAGCAAACATCATCTCACTCACGGTGTGCATAGCCTTACCCTGAGGAAAGACTACGAAGACCATCCGTAGGTACCGAGCACGTTGGAGGTATCAACCTCACCGACTGCCTACTGCAAGTGCAAGACTGTCATTCTGATTGCTGGTGTACATGCAAATGCAAAGCACTCCCAACTCTGCACATGGGAGCAATCACACCCGAGCCCTTCAAACGCAGAAACAGTTATCCTAGCACCTCAACCAGCAGCCAGCACCGTGACCTGTGGCGAGTTCCTCTATTATGTATTATCAGTAACGTTGCAGGGAAATGCTCACGTTTTGTAAGATTAAGCGGACAATAGGAATTATAGTCAGAATTCTTCCTCTTGCCTGAATAGTCTGTATTTATCTCCAGGCAACAGGAGAGAAGGAAAGTACAGAGAGCTTGCGCTGTCATCTGACTGTTTAACTCTTCAGACCTCGTCTTGGAGTGGAATGCAACGTACAATGAAATTCCTTTTTTTAAGCTAAAATGAATTCTGATACACTCAGCCAAGCCCTAACTTTCAGAAAACCAACTGCATTTTTCAGACAGTGAACAAGAGCCCTTACCTTCTCAACCAAGATTTCTCCAATAGAAAATGAGTTGATTTTCTGTCTTTACAAGCCTGAAAAATCTACAAGCAGATTTTCATGCATGTACCTGATAGTCCACCGACATCCATCTTCTTCAGGTTCTTTGCCTCCAGAATGACGACAGTCAGTTTGCCAGCAGTAGGGACATAACGGAGGGAGAAGCAGATATCACCCAGTTTTTCTTGCTGTGAAAGCAAACAAGGCATGGTGTTATATTTTAATCTTTTTTTTTTTTTTTTTACCTTTTAAAAATTAAATTCTGAAAGCCCCACAAAAAATTAACATCTCAAACCCCTACTGTTTAACAAAACATTCAAATGAACAATATGAGGTATCTGCCACAAGTTGCTAAGCTTAAACCCTTGATAACCTCAAGTCTGTTGCAGCAACTGGAGTCCACAGCAACTATCCTGTATGGAGCCAAATGACATGATATGTGCTGGCTGTCAAGCAAATTATACTGCTCAGCATTTCATCCCTGACAGTCAGGGTCCCAGAAAACTGTGTTTGTTCCCCCCCCCCAGGGTGTGTTTCAGTGGAAATCAATTAACACAGATGCATACATAACCAGTAGACTGTTTTTCATGAAACAGTTTCATGGGTCTTTCTCAGCACACTTTGTCACAAAAGCAAAAAGTAGAAAGACAACAAAGCACAAACCATTCAATATCAAAAAAGAAGTCTTGCCTCCTATCTCACAGGCAAAAATGAAGAAAAAATAAAAAGGCAGTTCTAGGCTAGGAAAGCACACAGTGCATCCCTCCTCATACCAGGAACCGTTGGAAGGATTTGGCTTTGCCTTCATCCTTGTACCCTATCATGTGGTGTCCTGCCAAATCCAACCTTTTGCAATTTATGTATTTATGGCTTAGTACCTTCCTAACAGTGCTGGCAAAGAGGGAAAGGCTGAATCGCATTCAGAATTACAGGAACTTTGTTTTTAAAGGAGGAATAATAGATTTAAACTTACAGATAAGAGAGAGGGGAAAAAAAATAGTAGAATACTGCTTAGAAATGATCACTACGATGATCCAAGCTGCTTCTCCTTCCTTTCAGGCACAATGGTATCTCGAGGGGGTTAACAAAGTTGTTTTTGAGACAAGAAGAATGAGGTTACACGCAACAGTCCAATAAAGCATTTCAGACAGCAATGTTTCTCTTTCAAAGACAGTAGTTCTTATGGCATATGTCTGTTTCAGCAATTTATTCTGGCAGTAAAGTACATTTCTACAAGGATAATCTCTCTTTGCTTGCAGTGTTTTGTTAGAATAAATTGGAAGGTTGGTTGTTGAAAGGTTTTGGGGGTGAATCCAAGCTTTTTGTTAAGACACTAGGTAATTTTTGCAGGAATTATGCACCTTTTCCCCATACCACAAAGGCAAAACCAACATGGCAATTTACCAGGTTCAAAGAGCCAAGGGGAAAGAGGCCAAGTCAGAACCTTACCTTGCAAGCTGGGAGAACATTACTGAGAGCAACTGGCTCACATATTCATGGATGGACTGGGTATTTCCTAGAGGAAAAAACTGCCCGTGTCCTAAGGACTTTACCGTTCATGTAAAAGGAACCACAATTTTCCTTTCCAACTTGGGGCTCAAGCTTCCAAGTCATTTAAGAGAAGCAGCAGTGGCAGTTCTCCCAGTAGCTCTTACGCACAATCACTGTTAATCCAGGTTTGGAAAAGCATCTGCAGTGTATCCATCTGAAGATATGCCAGCTATACTTCAGAGTTTACACCTTCCTCCCTTATCAAAAAGTGTGTGGGCTTGTATCAGACTTCTTTAGGGATGCGGGATTCTTTGTTGTTCCCAACAAAGAACGGGAGTGGTGTATATTGAGAATGGCATCATGTAGCTACTGCTTCTTTTCATTTTAAAAAACTTAGAAACTGCAATAATAATGGAACACCTATAATGTGACAGGCTCTGAATTTATTATTATAAGTTGGGAATGAGACCCAGAGATTGTAATAGATAGTTGTCTGCAAAACATCAGCTCAGTGACCACCAGTGGTCAGAAAACTGCAGAACACAGACAGTTAGGTATAATTAGGTAATGCTTAGAGAGAACACAACAAAATAGCTCCTGATGTTATTAAATGCATATATATAATATACATATTACATAAAAGCACTGTCAAGATGCACATGTGACAGTATCTTCAAAACTGCTGCAGTTATGATGTCCTCCCCAACTCAAAAAGGATATGATAGAAATGGGAAAGATTCCAAGAAAAGGAGCAGGAATTTTGGCATGACACAACTTCTGCAGAAGGAACAAGTAAGTAGATTAGGATCCCTAAGGCTGGGAAGGGGCTGGCTGGGGAGCAGTGTCTTACAGACCTCTGTCTGACCCAGGAGGGCTATAATGATGTTATGACCCTGCTCAAAAAAAAAGAGATCCTAATATCAGAAAATTTACATTTTTAACCCCTATCTAGAATAACATAAGACGTCTTTCACAGCATGGACTGCATTTCTACAGAAGGACGTACATTATGCTCCCTGCCTGCATATACTGTTACAAATCCCAGCATAGATTCAGACCATGGAAATACTGATTTCAGCTGTGCAATCTGCAATGGCACAGTGACAGCAAAAAACGCTTCTGTTCCCCTGACAGTCCATACTGTCTAGGCTAATGGGGAAGTTGATCTATCACTTGCAGCTGGTTCAGAATGGAAGAAATCAATTACTTATTGATTTGTGTTATGATCACAGCTCACCCAGCCACCCGGTGTTCTCCACGGTCGCTGTTCTATTACATGGTAGACTTGGTTTAAATTAGACTGGTTGATCCACTGGGTTCTGAATAAGACTGAAACAGGATATGTTTGAAAGCTTGTTTTAGTCCCCCATTTTAGCAACCTTTGTACTCAAGTATCACCCAACATGCAAGGGCTTTGCCCTCAGCCCTAGATTCACTAGGTGGAGCTTTGGCTGTAGCAGCATGGGAATATGTATTCCCTTACAGTCCTCAGAAATGTATCTCATTGACAGACCATCTTAACATCTATTTTGAAAAGTACTTTAAAATCAATAACATCCTTCTAATTGTTCCTTTGCTTGGATTTTTGCCTCTTTTTTTAATTTTTGTTTGTTTGGGGTTTAATTTTTTTTTTTTTAATTCGTGTTGAGACTAGAGTGTGTTTAGAAAGCATAAAATGATGTTAGGATTGCTGTTTCTGAACTGAGGAGGTACTTTACAAACACAGTTACTGCCACAGAGACCATCACCTCTCACCAGCCTTTTTCCATCTGTAATCATGTTTTGCTTTTGTGCAAAAACTGCAATTGTCTACACAGAAGAGTAATTTTGTGAGAGCTTTTAATGCATTTTTAGCCTCTTTTAATGTAATTTTAACTGCAGGAAGCACAGACAAGAAGCCAGCACCATGTAAACGGCTGGTTTTCCATAGATCACTGTCAAGCCATGGAAAATGGCAGCAGATGATGGGCTCATTCCAGTGAGTAACTTAAGAAAAAGCATAGGTACTTCTTTAAGTGCCTGTAGAATAATGTTTAGGACTTTTCTGTTGTTATTAAAATTTGTAGTAACTGCATTTCTTCAATATTTCTTGTACTTTTAACATTTTCTCATTGCATGACTGCCACGAGTTTTCTATTCCTAAACCGGTTTGCAATTATTATTTTTTTAAATTTAAAAAATTTGTCAGGCAAAATACTGCAAGTGGCAGCGCTGCAATGAAGCAACAAAAAGCAATCACTAGAGGTGTGGTTTGCAGGAGATAATTACAAACCCCTGCAGGGCTATGAGGTACAGATGAGTGCTTCTGCTATGGTGATTATCTCATGGAGGTGCCTTATTGTTATTATGAATTTCTTTCAGCCCTGTGTATAAATAATTTATGTGACTAAATTACTTTGATCTCTGATGGAAACTGTAAGTTAGTGTTAGAAACTTCCAACTGGGAGGTTCATAGACATTAACCCATTCATGTATAATGCCTAAACACCAATCAAAAGACTCTCTCCGTCTAAGCAACTTCCTAACTTCGCTACATTTAAAGAGGATGCAATGAAGCAGAACATAAATGACAAAGACAGCTCTGCTAACACTTCTTCATCTTAGAAAAGGCTATTTGAAGTCCTGTTGAGAACTTGGATTTTTTAGAGAAGACTAAGTAGCTCCTGCCTGTCTCATGTTTCATCTTGTATTTGTCAGTAATAATTTTTGCCTTGACAGTACACTCTCCTAATCAGCGACAGAGAAAAATGCTATTTATGCAGATTACTCTCATCTGCACTGCGAATCTCTAGCAGCGATATCTATCTACTTAATATAAACATTCTCCACATTTTTGTGGAAGATATTATAAGAAAGTTGATGCTTGCAGCTCTCTTGGTAAAACAATACCAAAATAGTGAGCCACAGCACCATATGCTTTTTCCTAATTGGATCTAAGACTCCAAAATAGTCCACAGGGGAACGATATAATCACAATGATGTAGGCGTCCAGCTTCAATACCTGGTTTTGATTGTGGATATTTGCATAAGACAGAGAGAAACTCAAGAGGATGTGGTTTGGGGGTGAGGCCCAAAATACAATCTTACACCAATTAATGTTTAAAATGGAAGCTCATTATGTTCACTGTATAGTTTTTGCACCAACTGAAATGTATTAAAACAGTGTGGAGAAAAGAGGGACAGCATAAAGGTGGGTTATAAGCTAAACAAGGAGTCTTTGAAATTCAGGAAATCCAGATAAACCGTAATGACATAATCTCTAATCCTATTTCTCACATCCACGGACTTCAGACAGTTCTGAAGCCATTGTATTATGTCTACACACAGAGATCTCAAATCCAACAAATTCCTTCTCTTGGCACGTAAACCATGAAGACACTAATCCACAAAGGTGTCGCAACAGTACTAGTAACAGAATCACACGGATGCAGGAAGGGATGACATGGACTGGCCATAACTTCAATTAAGCCACCACAGCAAGTGGGCAGAATTAGCAACCCATACACAACACTGGGATCTTCAACTGGGAAAATACTGCTCCTCCACACCCCCTAGGACAAATAGAGATCACACTGGGAAAAGGAAATGCTGGTTTGTTGGGCTCCCCCTTTTTCTTCAAACCTGAAATTGTATTGCCACAGCAGCTGTTCTTAACATTACCAACTTCAAAGGCACTGATTTTTTTTTATAAATACAT